CCCCTGGTTAATGGTTCTCACTGTCAGGAAATTTCTCTTTACTTGTAGGTTGGTTCTCTCGAATAGTTTTCATCCATTGCTTCTTGGAACACTGCTATCATGCCATGCCCTAGACCTTCTTTTCATGAAACTAGACATATCCAATTCCAGCCACCATTCTTTTTATGTTTTAGCCTCCAGTCCACTAATAATTTTTGTTGCTCTTCTCTGCACTCTTTCTAGAGTCTCAAGATCTTTTTTACATCTGGCAACCAAAACTGGATGCAATTTTCCACGTGCAGTCTTACCAAGGCCTTATGAAGTGGTACTAACACTTCATGTCAACTTGATTCTATCCCTCTTAATGTAGCCTATGATTCTGTTTGGGTTTTGGGGGGGCAACTGTAGCATAGTGCTGACTCAGGTTAAAGTGGCTGTCCACTAGGACTCCAATATCCCTGTTGCACATACTACTGTTGAGCCAGGTATCCCCTATTCTATGCCAGTGCATTTGGTTTTTCTTTCCTAAATGTAGAACCTTACATTTCTCACTGTTGATTTCGTTTTTTTAGATGGGCCCCAATCTGTCGATCCTTCTATAGCCTGAGCTTATCTTCTGGAGTGTTGGTATTCCTGTCAATTTGGTCTTGTCTGCAAATTTGATGAGTTCCCTTCTATCCTCGTCTAAATCAATGATGAAGATGAACAGATCTTGCGAATCCTCCTGTTCTGTTTTTTTCCGTGTTCAGGAGGGTCTTGTGTCCTTCGAGGAGGTGGCTGTGTATTTCTCTGAGGAGGAATGGTCTCAGCTGGATCCTGACCAGAAAGCACTGAATTTGGAAGTCATGCTTGAAAACCATAGGAACGTGGTCTCTCTGGGTAAGAGTTTTCTAGTCCCCAATAAAGAAGAGAGATTATAGTTAGTTTTTTATTTAAAAAAACACTAATCAGATATTGTCTCCTGGGAGGGAGAAGGAAAGGATCTGGCCTTGTCGTGCTCCAAGGAAGGAAAGAGTCAATGTCTCTTTGCTTAGATGCTTTCTGTGCCATTTCTTCTCTGTATTTTTCCATTTCTATTTGAACATCTGTGAAGGCTGCAAAGAATTAAGGTGTGCTTTTATGTGTCCTCTGGAGGTCATGTGAGAGGAGTTTGTTGTCACTTGTCCTCTGGAACCTCCCCAAATTGTGTGAGAACAGAACTTTCATGCTCAGTCCATGAAAGATCACTCTCCCAATCCAATTCAAGAACAAAGGACTCAGGCAGTGTGACTCAGAGCATCCTAGGGTACAGGTAATCCCCGAGTTACAACAGTTCACTTAGTGACCATTCCAAGTTATGACCAGCCCTCCCCCAAGTACTTGAGATCAAGCCCCAAAATTATGAGTATTGCAGCACCATGGCCATTGTTCATACTTACAAATGACAGTAGAGGCTCTGCAACATTCACCCTACCTATCCTCCCACCCTACCCAGCTGAGACTTACCGTATTTTTGAGACTATAAAATGCACTCCCCCCTCCCCCCCCAAGTGGAAATGTCTGTGCATCTTATAGAGGGAATACCGGCTTGTTTTTGGCCTCCCAAACCCTCCACGCATCCCATTTTCACCCTCCCTGGCATCCAGAAGCACTCTGCAGGCCAAAAACGGGCCTGTTTTTGGCCTTCCTGGAATTGGGGAGGCTGAAAATGGGACGCACAGAGGGTTTGGGGGGCCAAAAACTGGCCCGTTTTTGGCATGCAGTGTTTCTGGATCTGGGAGGGGAAAAACAGGATGTGCAGAGGGTTTGTGAAGCCAAAAATGAGCCCGTTTTTGTCCTGCAGAGTGCATCTGGACGCTGGGGAGGGCAAAAATGGGACACGCAGAGGCAAAAACTATTTTTTCCCTTGTGTTCCTTCTCTAAACTTAGGTGTGTCTTATGTCCAATACGATGATGTGGTGAGCCATTGGTTCCCTTGCCTGCTTTGGTGCATTTGCAGAAAAAAGAGGCCTTTAGTGAGAGACACGTGATCAGCAGTGGGAAATCTGGCACTATTGATCCCATGTGATCTCGTACTACACTGCTCTAGGCCTCTGTTCTCTGCTAACCAAGGCCTGCATGAGATCCAGGGCCATATGCTTTTCAAAGAGAGGGAAGGCCTCTTCGTTTTCAAAGACTTTTGCCCTGGATCTCATGCAGTCCTCGGTTCTTAAAAGAACACAGGCCTAAAGTAGTGCAGTGCGAGATCACACACGATTAGTAGCCTGAGATCTTGCACTACTGGTCTCGTGTGATCTCACAATAATGTACTTTAGGCTTCAGTTCTCTGCGAACCGACGCCTGTACCATATCCGGACAAAGATCCTTTGCAAGCCGATGGGACTTTGGGGCAGTGAAATAGCCATTCTTGAAGCATCCCAATCTTTCCAGTCTCAGCGCGAAGAGCGTTTACAAGCCAATGGGAGGCTTTAAGCAAGGGATTTATCTCCAAATTCTCATCGCTGGGATCGAGAAAGAGGCCGAGCGGGAGTCCAGCCCGCCAGACGGACACCGTGGAACAGCTGCTCCAAGGTACACTGGGGAAGAAGGAGCTTGTTTCAAAATGGTTTCATTTCTCACAGGTCTCTGCGGAAATTAAGCCACCTCAATAAATCTTAAGTTTTCTCCTAATTCCTCCTTGGATCTTTCCCTTTGGATTGTTCCTTAACTCAAAACTAATTCTAAGTGAGACTTGCATATATATAGATAATTGTGAAGAAAGAGATGTATTCTAGATATTTTCAAAGCTTTCATGACCCATGAATATAGAAATCATATCACACCACTGTAGGCATGCAAACATATAACCTAAATTTTTGGAGAAATTCAGAAGGAAATTCAATGGACTTTCTAACTTTGATCTTTTTCTCTAACCTTGTTATCATTTTCTTTTTTTTAATTTAAGTTTTTTATTTTTATTAAAAAAAACCAAATCCATCTTTCAGTTACACAGTGTGTCGACTGGGTACATATATCTTGTGCACATATTAATATTTTGTATACATTTCTTACTAAGTTTACATTCATATTACAACCTATTCAACATTATATATCATTATAACAATATCATTTAATTTCTTACTTTGTATTCCAACCATTTATAAAATAAATCCCATATCATATGGTATTCCAGTTCTTCTTGTTCTCTAATTGCCAATGTTAATCTACTCATTTCTGCACATTCCAATATTTTCTTAATCACCTCCTCCTCCATTGGAACTTTTTCATTTTTCCAATTTTGAGCAAATACAATTCTAGCTGCTGTCAATATATCTATAATTAAATATGTTTTTCTTTACTATAGACCTTGTTATCATTTTTATTTCCCTTTTGCTTTGAAGGTAATAATGGGCAGGAGAATCAAGATTCCCGTGAACTGTTCCAAGTGATCAATGCTAAAGATGGAACAGAGAAGTTTGGAATTCAAATGGAATTCGAAAGCCATGAGAGAAACCAGTCAAAGAATCGGAATCAGGAAAGCTCAACTTCCACTGATGCTCCGATGCAAGACTTTCTTGCCCAACAAGAGAAAATAAGGAAAAAATATACCAGAAAAAGTGTGAAGCTAATCAAAGCAAAAGTACAAGTAAATGAACACTATTTAACCCAAAACAAAGGAGATGATACTATAAGAAGAAACAACGGACAAAATTACAATGGGACATTCATTCTTTCTCATGGGAGTAACTTCCTTACATCTCAAAAAGTGATTGACACGGGAGAAGGCGGAGCCGGGGCTCCGAAGTTACAGCTGATATCTTCGCCCCTGGTCGGTCCATTGGACCTAAACCGTCCCGTAGAGACAGTGATAGTAAGGGGCGCGTTCTGTCGATCACAGGGACACCGCAAGTCCCTGGTGAATCCAGAAGAAGCCCCTTTACCATCGGCGGAGAGGCAGCCATTAAGCTGCTGAAGCAGGGACAGCTCCGGAAGGAAGAGTAGAAAGAAAGAGAAAGTGTATCGGCTGGTGAGATTTTTTTTTTATTTATTTGGGATAAGGACACCCTAGAAGAAGGAACCTGTAAGATTTTTGACAGAACTTGATAAGATGGACTTAGTGGCAATTTTTTTAGGAGATGTCAAAATGAGGCTTGGCTTTTTACTTTTTTTTTTTTCTAGCGAACTTCTATTGTGATTAGTAATTGTAACCAGACTGGTTTTTTCTTTTATAATTACCTATTTTCTTTTTCCTTTTTGACTGTTTATATTTTTAATAGAGGCTCCCTTTAGTAATTTTTTCTTTTTTTAAATATATACATATATATATACACATATTTTCTTTTTCTACTGATTTTTTTTTGGGGGGGGGAGAAGGGGGAGTGGAGTAGAGAAACTTTGTAACTCTGTAACACTGCCAACTAGAGGCTTGAAAATACTTTACTTGAAGTTGAGAGAACTGTGAGAAACTCTTTCCCAAGGACACTGAGTTGATAAGATAGAGAGAGGAACTCTGGAGAATGTTTTCACAGGTGTCTCTTTGGGATTTCTACAATCAACTGAATATTTGAAGCTTGGCTTTGAAACTTGTGGAGAAGCCATAATAAGAGCCTTGGACGTTTAAATAAAATGCAGTGTGCTTCTTGCTTTACTTGTTGTTAGCTTTTATCCCTCCTCCTCAACCCTATAGTATTTTGTAATATTTGTACACTTTTGCTTATTACTATTATTATTATTATTATTATTATTTTTTCTAAAGGGAAAGCCTCAGAATATTTTTTCCTTTTTCCCTTTCCTTTTCCTTTTGGGACGGGACTTTTGCTTTTTTCACCTTTATATGTATATATTCTTTTTTTATGGCTATGTTTTAGTTTCTTGAGATCTCGCAATTGGATTAAGGTGTGAAGAACCTGAAGAATTTTTCTTTTTTCTTTCCTTTTATTATTATTATTATTTTTTAATATTATTGGGTTTTATTCTCCTTCTGACTATCGCAACTGAGGATTAAGGTCTAGAAGAACCTGAAGAAATCTTTCTTTTTTCCTTGAAACTTTTTTCTTTTTTTAAATTTTGGGCTTTTTATTTTTTATTGATTTTTCTTTTTTACGTTTTTCCTTTCCCTAATTGGATTATAATTGCCACTCTGCCAACTGGATTAAAAGAGTGGGAAGATTCTGTGTTATTCAAATGAGTAAGAAAATTCTACCTTCTGGTACCTCAACTTCTGCTCCTGCCTCCCCATCAACTGGAGGACGACTTTCAACAATGGCGAAGCAAGATAAAGGACAAATGGATCTAACGACAGTTATGCAAGGAATTCAAGAACTTAAAATGAGTATTGAACAAAGGATGGGGAGTATTGAACAAAAAATTGAAAACATCCAACAAATGATGGTGAAATATGATGAGAGACTGCAAAAAATGGAAGAGAAAGACAATCAAAGAGATGAGAAACTGCAAAAAATGGAAGAGAAAGACAATCAAAGAGATGAGAAAATTGGAAATATTGATGACAGAGTGACAACGCTTGAACAAAACAAGAATGAGATGGTGAAGTGGGAGATGGACAGATCAGAATATTACCTCAGATTTCAAAATATAGAGGAAGAAAAAGGACAAGATCTTGCTGCAGTAATGATAGAAATCTTGGCTGGAGCTCTGGAAATAACAGAGGAAAAAATGATGGATGGAATAGATGAGATATACCGAGTTTTTACAAGATATGCGTCGAGGAATAAGCTACCAAGAGAAGTTCATGTCAGATTTACTAAAAAATCTATTAAAACACAGATATTACAAGCGGCAAGAGAGAAGGCATTGAAATATGGAGATAAAGAGATTGTGGTTTTAAAACAAGTACCCAGAAAAATTAAAGAGATGAGGAGAGAATATCGTTTCCTGACTAAAATATTATTGGAAAAGGAGGTGAATTACAGATGGTTGATTCCAGAAGGATTAATGGTTACATGGAAAGAACAGAGATACAGAATTGGCTCAATCGACGAAGCAGAATCGTTTTATAATGAATTTTTTAAAAGAAGAGAAATAGAGATAGAAAAAGAGACTACCCTAACTGAATTTCAAGAGGACCAAATAGAGATGGGAAAAGAAGAAGGTGCAGTAGGTGGACAAGTGGAGACTAAAGAACAACGTGAAGTAAGATCAATGAGAGCTGTTAGACCTAAATATAAATCATAACTATGGAGGAAAAAAAATTGATTTCTTTGAATATAAATGGACTGAATTCAGCTACTAAAAGAAGGAAAACTTTTCATAAAATAGAGAAATTAAAATTTGATATAATTTGCTTACAAGAAGTACACATTAAAAAACAACATCAACAATTATTGGTGCGACCAAAAATAGGGAAAATTTTTACTTCTTTGGCCCATTGTAAGAAAAGAGGAGTGGTATTGTATATTAAAGAAACCATTCCAGCAAAATTGATTTATACTGATGAAGATGGAAGAGTATTAATGGTTGAAATAGTGGATAACAACACAAAGATACTTTTGGTTGCAATCTATGCTCCGAATGATAAACAAAAAAGATTTTATAAAAAATTACATATGAAAATAATTGAATTGAACTACGCTAATATATTTATAATGGGAGATTTTAATGAAATTGTAGACAATGAATTGGACTACACAGCAAAAATAGCACGACAAAATAGGAAGACCCTCCCTAAATCCTTTTTTGAAATGATAGAGGAATTAAATTTAAAAGATATATGGAGGGAAAGAAATACTAAAACTCAACAATATACTTTCTACTCGAATAGACATTCATCATGGTCCAGAATAGATATGATTTGGATGTCAACAGAATTACTATCTAATATTCAAGAAATAAATATTGAAACAAGTACATGGGCAGATCATAACCCAATGACAATTAAATGGAAAGGACAAAAAAGAAGATCTAGATGGACATTAAATAATACTATTTTAAAGGAAAAAGATTTTACACAATGGATGGAAAAAGAACTGGCCTTCTTCTTTAATGAAAACAGAAAAGAAGATACTTCAATACAGAATGTTTGGGACACAATGAAGACATATGCAAGAGGATTGATAATGGAATATATAAAGAAAAAGAATATTAGGAAGAGGCAAATGATTAAAACTTTAGAAGATGATTATAAAAAATTGGAAAAAGAATTACAGAGAATGCCACAGAAAAAAGATATTAAACTTAAAATGGACATAATCAAACATAAAATGGATCAAACAGAGAAAGAAGAATTGGCGCAAAAAATTAGAAGTGCTAAACAGAACTATTTTGAGGATGCAAACAGGCCAGGTAGATGGTTAGCATACAAACTGAGAAAAGAGAAAGAATCAAGGAGAATACTACAGTTAATGGATGAACAAGGTCAAGTTTGTCATGGTAATAAGGAGAAAAAGAGAATTATTCGAGACTTTTATGCACAATTATATAAGCAGGAGATTTTGATGAGGGGAAAATCAAACAGTATTTACAAAATGCCAACCTACCTAAGATACCTGATGAAACTGGGAAAATGTTAGAAAATCCTATAACAATGATGGAATTAACTGAAGCACTCAATAGGCAGAATAACGGGAAAGCACCAGGACCAGACGGTTTCCTGGCAGAATTTTATAAAACATTACAAGAATCATTGAGTATTTCATTGTTAGAAATTATGAATGAAGTTATGATAAATAAGAAAATACCTAAAACATGGTCAGAAGCTTATATTACGCTTATTCCAAAAGAAGGGGCTGACCCATCACAAATTAAGAACTATAGACCTATTTCCTTATTGAATGCAGATTATAAAATCTTTGCTTCAATCTTGGCAGAGAGGCTTAAAAAATACTTAAACAACTTTATTCACCCTGATCAGAATGGATTTTTACCAAAGAGACAAATTAAAGACAATATGAGGGTAATCCTGGACACATTGGAATATTACGAGGCGCACCCTGAAAAACAAATGGCTTTGATATTCTTAGATGCCCAAAAGGCATTTGATAATGTGAATTGGAGATTTATGTTATTATTATTGGAACAGATGGGTTTTGCTAGAAAATTTATTCAAGCAATAGAAGTCATATATTATAAGCAAACGGCAAAAGTAATGATAGATGGAGAATTTACAGATTCTATTAATATTAAAAAAGGTACAAGACAAGGATGCCCATTATCTCCTTTGTTATTTATATTGACTTTGGAAGTGTTAAATAGAAATATTAGAGAGGATACAAACATAAAAGGAATGAAAGTTAAAAAGGAGGAATTTAAATTGCAAGCCTTTGCAGACGACTTGGTTTTTATTTTGGAAGATCCTCTAGAGCAGTGATCCCCAACCTTTTTTACGCCGCGGCCCGGTACCGGCATCAGCTGGGCGCCGCCATCTTTTTTTTTTATGAAAAAGTGCTTCCGGTGAGCTTTCTACCCGGAAAAGCTCACCGGAAGCACTTTTTTATCAAAAAAAGATGGCGGCGCCCAGCAACCAGCGGCCCGGTAAGAATTGTTCCGCGGACCGGTACCGGTTCGCGGACTGGCGGTTGGGGACCCCTGCTCTAGAGACAGCTTTAAAACTATTGGAAAAGATAGAGATGTATGGTGAGATGGCTGGCTTGAAAATAAATAAAGACAAAACAAAGATTTTGACAAAGAACATGTTGTTAAGACAAAGAGAAGAGCTGGCAGACCTATTGAAAATTCAAGTTACGAACAAAGTTAAATATTTGGGGATATATTTGACATCAAGATGTACTACACTGAAAGAGAATAACTATATTAAACTTAAACAGCA